TCCACTCACTTGTAGCCAACAATAAGTTGCTTGTTTAGCAGTCATTTAACTTGATAATTGACTTCACCCATATAGTGAAAACCAGCGTAAATAGCGAAAAATGGCGATTTTTACTGGTTTCTTTCTTATTTTTCGTTGATCTTTCAACCAATTTTCATCAAACAATTGCTTTATAAATGTGACCCCTTTTACATCCCTGGTAGCACAGTGACAAATTGAATTTCATGAACTCCAAAATAATTGTGGTCTGAAGTGTGTCTTCATGTTGCCTGTTTTACCGTTTCATGTCATCGGCTAACTTCGATTGATTAAATACAGACTACTGTTATATCAGTAACTGCATTAATTGATGAATTACATAAACATGAATTATACACACACACACACACACATACATACATATATATATATTATATATATATATATATACAGCCTGTTTTACCCCTTCTTGCCCTCGGCTAACTTTTATTGAATACATACAGACTACTTCTGTTATATCAGTAACTGCATTAATTCAATTTTTTTTTAATGAAAGTACTTTAGAATAATTGAAGAAGATAGACTCTGTTACATCTAAACATGATGCTGTTTTAATCACAGTGGATAAAGGCGTAAATTAGATCAAGTGACAGGACCCAAAGAGTGTGAGTTCAATACCTGGTTAAGGCGTTGGAGAACTTGGAGAGGTGAATTAACAGGAGACAACAGATAACTGACATCCATTAGACATGGCACGTGGAACTAGAACAGTCTACCCCAGTGATCGAAATAAAGGGTTCAGTTCGACATTCCAACCACCTGAAGAAGGCCGGAGCGTACAATGTCCAAAATGTTGTCATAAATATGGCAAAAAGATGAGGATGATAGCCTGAGCAATGTAAATAGTGTCTCTTTCTGGTGCTAAGAATAAGTTTCACATATAATGTCCGTCGTATCCTCAGCATCTTTCTGTAGAGCCACATTTCTATTCTTTGAACTGATTATTCAGCATTTACTCTCGTATAGGGAAACTGATATCACGCAACATTTCAGTGCTGTTTTCTTTGTTTCTAACGAAGTTTTTCTGTTTCTTAATACTCTGCTTAGCTTTTGGAAGGCATCTTTGATTATTCCAATTCACCTTCGGATATCAGTGTCGCACTTTACGCACCCCCCCCTCCACGGTTTAAAAAAAAAAAAACAATTCCCAGATATTTATTTATTTATATTTTACGTGTTTCATTTTTGTATTGCCGGTTTGAAATGTGCACTCTGGGGACATCTTTTCGCTATCATCCATGCTGTCTTCTTGCACTCAATGTTGAACCCTTTCTTCCTGCTTTCCTTCACTATATTCTGGAGAAATGTTTGTCCTTTTCTTTCCGTATCTGCTATTAACATTGTGTCATCTGGATATCTGCACATCTGTTAAGACTGTGGCCGCCAATAATAAATCCTGGCAGGACTTCTAGTTCGGTCAGAATCGCCTCACTGTATAGGTTGAATAAATCTGGTGAGCAGACACTTCCATTGTCTTACACAACCTTTCTATTTGTGTATATTTGCTGAACTCATTTTCTATCCGCATGCAGGCGGTCTGCTGCCTATATATATATATATATATATATATATATATATATATATATATATATATATATATTGCACGTCCTGAGCAAGGCGGGAAGCCACTAGGATGCAGGGGGTTGCAGAAGATTTGGAGCAAGATCAGATAGGAGTGATAGAAGAAAGGATGAGGAGAGGGATAGTGGATAGATCAAGGCTACTGGAGATGTCGATTAACATTACATTTGAATAGTTGGAGATTATAGCTCTCAGGGAAACAGTAATAGGGAAGGGTGTTCCACAGGCGAGAGGTGCGAGGTATGAAGCTATTGGAGTAGAAGAGACAGCTACATTTAAAAGTTTCTACAGTGTAAGGGTGGGAGTGGGCTGCCAGCCTCGTAGGGCGCTTGAATTCATGGAGCCTGGGAAAACATTCGGACAGTTCTTACACACCCTTTGTCCAGAAAAGAAAGCTCTTGTCAGAACACAAGAAAAATTAAATAAAAAGCTCAACCGTAGTACCTTGTCTGTCATTTTTAATGAAACATGCATAAAGGAAGGATTGCTCTTTAAATATACAACTATATATATATATATATATATATATATATATGTGTGTGTGTGTGTGTGTGTGTGTGTGTGTGTGTGTGTGTGTGTGTGCGTGTGTGTGTGTGTATGTGGTGGGGACAGCATTTATTTATGTCGGCAGTAAATTTACGTTCATGATGGCTTGTTTTTATGTATGTTTCCACAGCTTGGTTAGTGTCGTAAAATTCATGTGACTTTCCGACAGCCAAGTCAAAGTGTCGTAAAATTATAGCCTACGGTGATAAGCATTGGGAATGATATCATAAAGCAGAAATGCCTATTGGCAAGTTGTATAAATATGTATATAATGATTATTTTATATAGGGATAGTGATATATAAAATTTATATAGTAATAACAGTTTTGAAGGAAATATGTATGAGAAAGAGTAAAAAGTTGCCGTGTGATGCGTGTCTGTTCTCGTTCATACGATTACACATGCGCAGAAACGAGAGACGCTTAGAATTTTAAATATATATATATGTGTGTGTGTGTACTTAAATATCAACAGACACGAACGGTTCTAATATATATATATATATATATATATATATATATATATATATATATATATATATATATAAATTTTGAACAGTAAAAATATTAAAAATTAAAATCTTCAGACACACTGGGTTGTAGATTAATATTCTTTCGTTTTTTTTATTATTATTATTTCATTTAGATTCCTCGGCTAGTTTCAGCCAAAATGGCCATCATCAGGAGAAGAAATATTTCTGCTTGCTGGCAGCAGTAAACTACAGAAATGAATGTCTTGATGGAGAAAATGAACTTTTGTCTGTAGTTTTCATTTGTTTTTTTTATTTTTTTATCTTTTTAACATGAACCTTTTAACATTCCTTGTGTTGGTCAAACAGTCTCTTTTAAGTTGTTATTTGAGATAAGAGCTGGATGGATCTATGCTTCTCTGAATTCCCCTGGTCAGTTTGACAGTTTTATTGGTCCTGGAGAGGGGATGTGTCTCTGTTTACTTCTTGTGTGTATGTTATTTGGTTCTTGGGGAGTGAGTGAGTAGGCGTGTGTATTGCTGTGGGTGTGTGTTATCATTTGGCTCTTTAGGGAGTGAGTGAGTATGATGTGTGAAAATGTGTATATTCGTGTAGGTGTGTGTATAAGTGTGAGGCCTCAACACCTCCGTAAGCATCTCTGTCTTATGTGGGTGAGAAATGTGGGTAGGTTTTGATTTGTTGAGTTATATATTAGTACTATCTGTATTGTTAAATTTATGGTTTAGCCCGGCTGGATATTGTGTTTTTTTCATGAGACTCTAAAATCTTTCTAATGTTATCTGCTCTGAATTTCTCTATTCTCTCAATTATAGTGAATTTGGCATGGGTTTTGAAATCGTGTTTTTCCAAGCGGAAATGTTGTTCTACAGGTAATCATTTTTCATGGGGAGTCGACTTAATATATATATATATATATATATATATATATATATATATATATATAAAACATTTTTATTTGCCAAATAAGCTAAGTTGTCTTGCATTAGTTATAAATCAGAAAACAGGCAAGCGCCCTGTGGTCACATACGATGCAGAAAATAACAGATTAGTACATCATCATTCAACTTATTATTGGCATTTGTTTTTGTTTTTTTTTTCGAGCCATTAGTCAGAGTTCGAGCAATACGATCGTTTAATAAACAAAGTTATACTCCTCAACGTGTTCCAGTTACAAAAGGGAAAACTTGAGCCACTGCTTGATGCATTTCCCTATTTTCTCTGCCATGTTTTTCTATCGGCGTATTTCTCGAAGGGTTAAACTCCCTGGACAGGCAAAGGTTTAAATTCCTTGAACAGGCAAAGGTTTAAAAGCCCTGAACAAGCAAAGGCTAAATGCCCTAAAATAAGCCCTGAACAACCATAGGGTTAAAAGCCCTGAATGGGCAAATATTAAAAGTCCTGGACGGGCAAATGTTAAATGCCCTGAACAGGCAAAGGGTTAAATTCCCAGAACAGGCAATGGGTTAAATGCCCTGAACAAGCAAAAGCTAAATGCCATGAAAAGCCAAAGGGTTAAATGCCCTGAACAGGCAAAGTTTTAAAAGTCCTGAACAAGCAAAAGCTAAATGCCCTAAAAAAAAAAAAAAGCCCTGAACAACCATAGTGTTAAAAGCTCTGAACGGGCAAATGTTAAATGACCTGGACGGGCAAAGGGTTAAATTCCCTGAACAGGCAAAGTTCTAAATGCAATTGATAGGCAAAAGGTTAAAAACCCTGTACGGGCAAAGGGTTAAATTCCCTGGTCAGGCAAAGGGTTAAATTCCCAGAACAGGCAAAGGGTTAAATGCCCTGAACAACCAAAGGCTAAATGCCCTAAAAAGCCAAAGGGTTAAATGCCCTGAACAGGCAAAGTGTTAAATGCCCTGAACAGCAAAGACTAAATGCCATGAAAAGCCAAAGGTTTAAAAGCCCTGAACAGGCAAAGGACGGGCAAAGTGTTAAATTCCCTGAACAGGCAAAGGTCTAAATGCAATTGACAGGCAAAAGGTTAAAAGCCCTGAACAGGCAAAGGGTTAAATGCCCTGAACAACCAAAGGGTTAAATGCCCTGTACGGGCAAAGGGTTAAATTCCCTGGTCAGGCAAAGGGTTAAATTCCCAGAACAGGCAAAGGGTTAAATGCCCTGAACAAGCAAAGGCTAAATGCCCTAAAAAGCCAAAGGGTTAAATGCCCTGAACAGGCATAGGGTTAAATGCCTTAGACAGGCTAAGATTTAACAGTATAATGAACAGAAAGATGAATTCAAAGCAACAATTAAAGCAATGAAATTGACATAAAAATTTATTTTTTGATTTAATAATATAGATTTTCCTATTCCTTTGCTGTCCAAGCTTACAGTTATATCACATTAAAACATCTGTTCCCATACGATCACTGAAGTTAAGCACTGTCGAGCCCAGTCAGGACTTCGATAGGTGACCAATTTAGAATACCAGGTGGTGTAAAACTCTTCTAATAATATGTTTACGTCTGTATAAAGAACATTAAACACTGAAATAAGAAATAAAAATACAAGCAGAGGAGGAATTGCTCAACAGAAAGTGTGACGAAATAAAAAGAATGGTCATCATACATAAGACAAATTTGATGATGGATGTGAATCCATATTGAATATAAGATTAATTTTATATCGTCGACAAAACGGAGCAGAGGTCGTGGATAAGAACATAAAAATCGTTACAAATTTTTAAACGTTTGAAAGAATGGAAAGAAAACAGAAAGAAAAAACAGAAAGGTAATTGAGAAAAAAAAGAGAGAGAAGTGCAAAGATATGAACCTTAGAAAGAAAGAAACAAACAAACAAACCAAAAAGAAAGAAATACAAAGAAGGAAAGAAAAAAAGAATAGGGAATTGAGAAAAAACGAGAGGAAGTACAAAGTTATGAACTTTTGAAAGAAAGAAAGAAAGAAAGAAAGAAAGAAGAGAAAAAAGAAAGAAAGAAAGAAAGAAAGAAAGAAAGAAGAAAGAAAGAAAGAAAGAAAGAAAGAAAGAAGAGAAACAGAAAGAAAGAATAAGGAATTGAGAAAAAGACGAGGGAGAAGTGTAAAGATATGAACATTTGAACGAAAGAAAGAAAAAGAAAGAAAGAAAGAAAGAAAGAATAAGGAATTGAGTAAAAGACGAGGGAGAAGTATAAAGATATGAACATTTGAACGAAAGAAAGAAAGAAAGAAAGAAAGAAAGAAAAAAGAGAAAGAAAAGAAAGAAAGAAAGAAAGAAAGAAAGAAAGAAAGAAAGAAAGAAAGAATAAGGAATTGAATAAAAGACGAGGGAGAAGTGCAAAGATATGAACCTTTGGATTTCATATCCTTCTTTCCTTTCTTTTTCTTTCTTTTTTTCTTTCTTTTTCACTGTATCTCATTAGGCTCTTCCGTCCTTCATTCTTTCTTTCTTTCTTTCTTTTTCCTTGTATCACCTCTTCCTTCTTTACTTAATTCCTTCCTTCTTTCCTTCTTTCTTTGCTTCCTTCCTTCATACTTCTTTCTTTCTTTCTTTTTCACTGTATCTCCTGTGATCCTTCCTTCCGTACTTCATTCATTCATTCTTTCTTTCTTTCTTTCTTTCTTTCTTTCTTTCTCCTTTTCCTTTTCCATATCATTCTATCTCGATTTTCTTCTCCCCACCATTTTTCTATTTTTCTTTCTTTGTTAATATCTTCTTAGTCGTTCATATCTTTACATCTTTTCCTTTTTCTTTTCTTTTTCTCAGTCCCCACCCACTGCATTTTTTTAGTTTTCTTTCTTCCTATCTTTCTTTAACAATGTTTTTAATCCAGTTACACCGGAAGTCCGATACATAATCCGCATGAAAACGGAAGTGCGCATTTCCATTTTATCGTGGCTACTGTCTGATTCCGGACATCATCTTTTGTGAATTGAAACCGTCCAAGACGGTTGCCTAGAAAAAAAGAGGGACGCCTCCAGAAAAAAAAGGCAAAATAATCGATCTTGTGATTACGTTGAGATTTCATTGCCAAGAGAATCTTCGCTCCATTTTGAAACAAAATTCAAACTTGTCTGCAAAACGACCAAATGATACTTTACATAACTTTTTATTTTCAACCCTAGATCTAGTATTATAGGTGTGTTCTTGATCAAGTTGTAAGATCTCAAAAAGAGAGCACCTTCGGAAGAATATTTGCGGTGCCAAGCAATGCAGACTTCTGAAGCGATGATACTAGGTTTATTCTGATTTTCTCTGATTATTATTAGTAGTAGTAGGAGGAGGTGGAGGAGATGTAACTAGACAGGAAAATAATGAAATAGTCATGATGGTGGATTTCTGCTCAAAAACAAAAGGTTACGAAGGAAACTCACGTAAAAACAGAAAGAGCTATAACAGTTACTGGACTTAAGTAGTCTATTTTCCTGAAAAGTTGTTTTTTAAAAAAATCTTTCTCGATTTTATAAATTTCAGTCGACATTAAAACGAAATTCTTGGTCAATGAAGGCCGAATGTTTTCTCTATGGAAACGGTTAATCTTACCGTTATGAAGACCATTCATTGGCATTTGTTTTTTTTTCTTTTTTTTCGAACCATTGGTCAGAGTTCAAACAATACCATCGTTTAATAAACAAAGTTATACTCCTCCAAGTGTTCCAGTCACAAAAGGGAAAACTTGAGCCACTGTTTGATGCATTTCTCTATTTTCTCTGCTATGTTTTTTTTATCTGTGTATTTCGCCTGTTTTATTATTATTAACTAATGCACCCGTGTCGTCAAAAAAATAACGGAATTGTTAGAAATTTTTAATACTGAGATGCAGTGAAACAAAAGTCTTGAAGTGATTTTATTGCGATTCAATAAAACGGAGATAAAAAATAATCCACAACTAAAATAAAGAACAAGGAACCGTTTAATTCATCCGTTCGATTTATACTTTTAGACATTCAGTGGTATCCATATTTTATTGGATACTCCTGGTAATATATAAATCAATTTATATTTTTTATGTATATATAAAGAAATGAACAGATAGATAGATAGATAGATAGATAATGAACAGAATATAGATAGACTAGCAGCATGGCCTGGCGTTGCCCGTGCTTGATTCAAAAATCGTACGACTCATATAGCAATCGCTATCACTTGACTTAAAATAGTTTTGCCCTTCCTTGCCTTTTTTAAAGGAGTGCCCTTTGCCGTGCTGATGTTGCTACATGCCTTACTTCTTGCCTATCTCACACTGCGAATTTTTTTTCTAAGCTTCATACTAAACATTAAATCTGTTACGAAAAGAGAACTAAACAAAAACACAAAACGATCAGCTTTAAAAAAAAAAGGACTCGTAACTGAAAAACGAATGGAAAAAAGAATGTTAACAACAAATACTTTTTCACACCCAACCCAGTTCTGCGGAATCAAAATCAACGCTGAGTTTTAAGCAAGCGAATGAGCCAATTTGAGTAAAGTGCCATGCAGATTTAAATTTTTCCCACTTGTGACGAATGCAGCTATCGATGTTTTTTGCATGCTAGTTAACATTCGTGTCAGTCAGCTGTTGGCTCTCACGCTGGCCAATAGAATCTTCCTGTCTATTCGTAGCAGCCAGCTATAGGCTCTCACTCTGACCAGTAGAAAATGGCCGCAAACTACATGAAAACTGCCGTAGAAGCATAAAAAAAATCAATTATTTCCCCTATCGATGGGAGTTGGGAAATGCAAAGTCGGTCTTGGCCTTCCTGCGAACTTGGAGCATGTGCATGTAAATTTTGGTGCAAATCCGTCGAAAATTGCCGCCATGTATTCGTTACACACACACACACACACACACACACACACACACACACACACACACACACACACACACACCCTGCCTTTTATAGATAGAGATAGTAGATAGATAGATAATGAACAGACATATATGTGTACACACACAGACATATATATATATATATATATATATGTATATATATATATATATATATATATATATATATACATATGGAAGAGAGATAATGAACAGACAGAAAAAAGATAATGAACAGATATATATATATATATATATATATATATATATATATATATATATATAGTATAGATAGATAGATAGATAGATAGATAGATAGATATTGAACAGATAGATTGATAGATAATGAACAGACATATATATGTGTAGATATATAGAGAGATAGCTAAACAGATAGATAAAGAACAGATATATATATATATATATAGAGAGAGAGAGAGAGATATGAACAGATAGATAGATAGATAGATAGATAATGAACACATAAATAGATAATGAATAGACATATATATGTACACACACGCACGCACGCACACACATACATATATATATATATATATATATATATATATATATATACAGAGAGAGAGAGATAATGAACAGGCAGAAAAATAGATTATGAACAGACGTATATATATAGAGAGAGATTGACATATAGATATTGTACAGATAGATTGATAGATAATGAACAGACATATATGTGTGTATATATATATAGAGATAGATAGATAAATAGATAGATAATGAACAGACTGATAAATAGAAAATGAAAAGACATAGCTAGCTAGCTAGCTAGCTAGCTAGATAGATAGATAGATAGATAGATAGATAGATAGATAGATAGATAGATAGATTGATAGATAGATAGATAGATAGATAGATAGATAGATAGAGAACAGACAGACAGGGAGACAACTCAGTTCTGTGCTGCTTCCCGCCCAAATATGACAGCAGTACTCCATTTTCCACCTGATATCTCTCTTGTTAAAGGGAGAAGAGACCACAGGTAGTTACTAGAGCAACACAGGAAGACAACCATTTTACCTGTATATTTGGCAATGGATTGTATGTACGTGTTTCACTCGGGGTCCGATGTGAGTTAAGGCCCGACAGTCCCTTTCAAGGCAGGGTACCTCACGGAGGAGGGGGACATCCGTTCATCGTCCCTGGTGTTAGTTCGGGGTTCGATCTGGCGATATATGTATTTTAAAGCTAATTCAGGTCAAATACGGTTCGGAATTCAATCAGAATGATAGCATAAATATCAAATACTTAAGTTTTATTAATCTGACATGTTTTGATTGTGTTAAAGCTTCATCATAGAATGGGATATTGGGAAAGCATTTTCTGGTATTTTTATTTTTGTGTTTTGTTTGACTTGCATTTGAATAGAACGCATTTAACTAAAATTCTCTCTCTCTCTCTCTCTCTCTCTCTATATATATATATATATATATATATATATATATATATATATATAGATAGATAGATAGATAGATAGATAGATAATATCAATTGATGAATAGTAGGGATTATTATGAGGCAGAGAGCTCAATGTAAGAAAAACTGATCCGAATAGATGGACGCGAGGTCCATGAAATAAATTCATTACCACCTGACCTTATGGATTTTTAAGGATTCTGTATTCATTAATATATATATATATATATATATATATATATATATATATATATATATATAAAGTTATGAAGAACTTGGTAATTGTATGGGTAATCCCAAGGAGCATGAAATCCTGAGAGCTCAATGTAAATCCTGAGCTAATATTTAATAGAAAAAACAGACCATTATAATAATTTAATGAAATGAAACGTTTCATTTCATTTTGGAAGTGCTATCTGATGATCCGGCGTCTTTAAAAGGACTCTGGTGAAATAAATTATTATAATGGTACCTTAAAGTGGTCTGTTTTCTCTTATATATATATATATATATATATATATATATATATATATATATATATATATATATATATATATATATATGTTCCGTGACGATCCGCGTAGGTGAAACCTTGGTAGGTTTATCTGGCTCTCTAGGTTTAATTAGGTTTGCTCTACTTAGCGTATTGAGCACTTTATTTAGTTATTTTGCTTACTCGGACTTGCATGCTAGACGATTATTTTCGGCTGTTCTTTCATTTTTTGTACCTTTTTTTCCTTGGGTATTGGTCTTTTTATTTACATATCAAAAGTACCCAGGGTTTTCCGGACGAGTATAATTTCTAATCTTTATAAGATTATTAATATTAATTATTAAATATATATATATCTGTGTGTGTGTGTGCATATACATATATATATATATATATATATATATATATATATATATATATATATATATATATAGGGAGAGAGAGAGAGAGAGACATTATTTTATTTTCCTTCTGTTTTTCCCCTCACACTCCCCACTCTTTCTTTCAGTTTCTCTCTCCATTGCTCGATTATAATTAATTATATATATATATATATATATATATATATATATATATAGAGAGAGAGAGAGAGAGAGGGGGGGGGACAGAGAGTGAGAGAGAAAATGACTAACTCTTTTTTTTTTTTTTTTTAAATTAGACACAGGCACAATAAGGCACTAATTAATTTTGATCGATATGTGAGCCGTGGGATGCTGCGCTTGTATTTCAATTAAAAAAGAAGACATATCAAAGAAAAGTAATGCCAGTCTGTCGAATGTTATGCGCGTAATTGAGAACTGAAGAAAAGACTACGAATAGACGAGAACAAAACGAGAACAAGAATAGAGAAATGAGATTTCGCGAGGAAACAAAATAAAAGATAAAAAAAAGGAAGAATTACTATCCAAATGCCACAGGAAAATCACGTCTTGTCCATGATTTCAACTATGGTTTCACTTACGTGTCAAAAATTGAATTTACTGTTTTTAATTTCCGATTTACATATTATACTATTTCCTCGATGGGCGATCATTCTTTTGCCTTGTAATGTCTCCTTTAATATATATATATATATATATATATATATATATATATATATATATATACATGAAAAACATTATATATATATATATATATATATATATATATATATATATATATATATATATATGTATGTATGTATGTATGTATGTATGTATGTATAAAAAATAGAAAAGAGTTTAACAAGTTGTGGATTTACCTCCAAAAAGTAGAGCGAGACTAGTAGTTTCTGTATCATACAAAAAATGAAAATATTTAAGTTGATGGTAACATAATTAGATAAATAAATGAGAACAGACGAAGATAGATAGATAGATAGATAGATAGATAGATAGATAGATAGATAGATAGATGTGAACAGAATGAGATAGATAGATAGATAGATAGATAGATAGATATGAACAGAATGAGATAGATAGATAGATAGATAGATAGATAGATAGATAGATAGATAGATAGATAGATAGATAGATATGAACAGACTGTCATAGATAAATAAATAGAGAGATAATGAATAGGCATAGCTTGCTAGCTAGCTAGCTAACTAGGTAGGTAGGTAGGTAGGTAGGTAGGTAGGTAGGTAGGTATCTAGCTAGCTAGCTAGATAGATAGATAGATAGACAGAGAGATAGATAGATATGAATAGACTGACATACATAGATAGAATGATAGATATTAAGAGACTACCATAGATAGATAGACAGATAGAGTAGATACTATTATAGATAGACAGATATGATTAGATTAACATAGATAAATAGATAGAGATGAACATACTACATAAGATAGATAGAAAGAAAGATAAACAGAAGATGAATGAACAGACTAAGATAAATACGAGGACAATTGATAAATTATCAGTACTTTCTGTAGAACACACATATATATATATATATATATATATATATATATATATATATATATATATATATATATAGGTAACTATACTCTGTTTGAAAAACCCTCGAATTTTTGATTTGCTAATCAAATCAATCTCGAGGGAAAAAAAGGTTTAAAAAAAAAAAAGAGCTACAAACATGAATTTCTGCCGACAAAAAAAATCGCGCAGATGCAGGTCTGAAGCCCAAAAAAAAAAACCCTGATACGAGTAACAACTAACTAACAAAAAGAGCTCAATACAACCGTAGAGCAGACCTAGATACACCTAGTGAGCCAGACAAACCTACCTAATATATATATATTGTGCTGATACAATTTTTATTTTCCGTCGTATATAGATAACTAGTTACTGTGGAGCAGAGATAGACTTTAGGATTGATTTCGTCAAATTTTCTGACATAAAATCCCATAAAAATCTTTACCATTCGACCTTTCTGTCATCAAGATGTTGACTTGTACTTCTGTCCCTTGATAGACCAATTTTTCTCACGCTAAATGATATTTGAAATTAGATATATCCTACTGTGAAACAATGTTTACAAAGAAAGCCTATAGTACATTACTTCTATGGGACTTTCCTTCCTGTTACTTCCGGGAGGATTGGCAGAGGATGAGAAGTAGGTTTTTTTCCCGTCGGGATGGACGCTGCTTTTGTGAAATCTGTTCTGTTCGGGGTCCTTCTCTCCGTTGCGTCCACGCCGTTGTGTGACATCTGTTACGTACCGGTGGTATGACCGGATCTGACCAGCTTAGACAAGCTGCGACCAGCGGCCCGAGTAGAAACACTTGGCTCCCCACATTTAAATTCGACCTTGTGTTACAATCTGGTTCAGTCGTTAAGTAAATCTCAGATATTAATTCTCTATTGAGTTCGATTCTCATAAGATGCTCTCTAACTGCGAATTTTCCATAAGGCTTCGATTACTTGCGCTCTAAGTTTATTAAGCTTGTCTGTCAAACTAGCAGAGTTCGAAATAGCATTAAAACACAGAAGTTAGAAAAAAACATACAGACAACAAAAGAATATTATTATAGATGAGTCATACAAATAAAAGAATTTGCAGCACAAAAAATGTGTCACATAAGCGAAAAAAAAATTATTGTTATGGTCGAGGTTAGGACCAAGGAAGAACAACACGAACACAAGGGTAGAAATAACGAAGGTATATTACACGAAAAATAATAATACAACATGTGGAAGGTGTTAGTATGACTGTCAGTCTGGTTTGGAGGAACTACTATCGGCCATTGTTTGGTCTTGAGAGGTTAGGACCAAGAAGAACAACACGAACACAAAGGTAAGAAATAACTATCTATCTCATTATATTATCACGAAATAAAAATGTGGAAGGTGTTAGTATGACTGTCAGTCTGGTTTCTATCTAGTGAACTACTATCGGCCTATTGTTTGGTCGAGGTTAGGACCAAGGAAGAACAACACGAACACAAGAGTAGAAATAACGAAGGTATATTACACGAAATAAAAATGTGGAAGGTGTTAGTATGACTGTCAGTCTGGTTTGGAGTGAACTACTATCGGTTCGCCATTTGACCCTCACCTTTGAGAGGCGTAGATACATAGTGTTAGGAAGAGTTAATTCTATAGTTACAAGAGGTAGATCTATCGAATCTTATTATCTATCTGTCTAAATCTAATTAATATCGAATCTATCGAATCTATTTAGTATTATCTATCTATCTATCTATTATCTATGAATCTATCTATCTATCTATTGTTATGGTCGAGGTTAGGACCAAGGAAGAACAAGAACACAAGAGTAGAAATAACGAAGGTATATTACACGAAATAATAATACAACATGTGGAAGGTGTTAGTATGACTGTCAGTCTGGTTTGGAGTGAACTGCCATCGGTTCGACTCGATTTGACCCTCTCTCCTGAGAGGCTCAACAGAGCAGTAGCCATGAACATATTTGTAGAAAAGACAGAGGGAAGCCATATCACGTCTGTGAGAAAGTGATTGAAGTCGAGATGTCTAGTCAGGACCGATTACATTGCAGGTCCATCTTTGGATTTTGTCAAGAATCTCGAGATGACCAGCAGGGGCAACAGACCAGATATGGCTACAATATTCAATGCACAAACGAATGGTAGATTTGTAGATGTTTAAGATGGACAAAGTGTAAAATGAGTAAAACCTTCCAACACCAGTCTTCCTTTGCAGAAGATGCAGCTATTGACTGAAGGTAATTGTTCCACCTCATTTTACGATGAGAGAGGGTAACCTGTGGTGTAAAAAAATATGGAAGGACAGGATTATATTGGCGGTAGGATCTCATCATTTGATAGTTGAAAAGTCTAGAGGTAACTAATAAGTTTGTGCTTTTATCGCACTTCTCGCTTGTGGAACTCTCTCCTGGCTTCTTATCTAGTCAAGTTTGATCTTCAAGAATGTAAATGTAATGTCAATAGTTATTTTCTGCTTTCTTAATTTCAGTTCTTTTATTGTCCCCGTTTCTTAGATAGATAGATAGATAGATAGATAGATAGATAGATAGATAGATATGAACAGAATGAGATAGTTGTGAGCGCATTGAGAATAGATAGATATGAACATAGATAGATAGATAGATAGATAGATAGATAGATAGATAGATAGATAGATATGAACAGAATGAGATAGTTGTGAGCACAATGAGAATACATAGATATGAACATAGATAGATAGATAGATAGATAGATAGATAGATAGATAGATATGGACAGATAGATAGATATGAGCAGACTGATATAAATAGATAGATAGATAGATAGATAGATAGATAGATAGATAGAAAGAGACTCGGATAAAAACATAGATAGATAGATAGATAGATAGATAGATAGATAGATATGAACAGCGATACATAGATATGAACAGACTGAGATAGATAGATAGATAGATAGATAGATAGATAGATAGATAGATAAATAAATAAATAAAGAAAGAAATATCAGAAACAACAGGAAGATTGCATTAATTTTATACATTTATTAAGCGGGGTTTAAATATAAAAGTTGTTTTTTTTTCTTTTAGATGTCGTCTAAGAATTGCTTAAAAATCTCTTTATCCGACTAAGTACGTAGAAAGCTGAAATGAGATGTGCTAAGATTTCTCAGACAATAGATCATTTTTTTTTCACTATTTCAAAATCCCCATCAATACATTCAGTTTTACACAATATGCATTGTTTGCCATCGTTAAAGTTTAATAAACACGATGGTTGAAGATTTTTAATTTTCTAAATTTTATAAGCGGACGCCTCATTTATTCGAGTGGTTAGAATAATCTTCAGTTGTAAGATAAATTATAATTAGACAATGGTGAATGGAAATATTATTTGTTTAGGTGTGAATATGAAAATATCATTAGAATTAAATCCGAAAATAGAAAAATAATGGATGGCAATTGGATACATTGGGGTGAACGTAACAAAGGGAAAAGCAGTTGACACAAATAGATGATAGATAGATAGATAGATAGATAGATAGATAGATAGATAATAATGGCATTAGATAGATAGATAGATGATAGATAGATAGAAATTAGAAAATGAACAGAATGAGATAGATAATTAGATAGATAGATAGATAGATAGATAGATAGATAGATAGAAAAATGAATGATAGATAGATAGATAGATAGATAGATAGATAGGATAGATAAAACAAAGTTAGATAATAGATAGATAGACAGAAGACAGAAAATGAAACAGAATGAGATAGATAATAGATAGATAGATAGATAGATAGATGGATGTGCAGACTGAGATAGATAGATAGATAGATAGATAGATAGATAGATTGATAGATTGAAAAGACTAAAAACAGAAATAAATAAGCCAAGATAGATAGATAGATAAAGATAGATAGATAGATAGATAGAAAGGTAGAGGATAGATAGATATAGATTAGATAGATAGAATTTAAACAGACTAAGATAAATTGATAGATAGATAGATAAACAGACTGATAGATAGATAGATAGATAGATAGATAGATAGATAATTTGTGCAAATTAATTGAAGCAAAACTTTTTTCGTATTTTTCCAATGAAAAATGCCCCAGTGCACTTGCTAGTAATTCGTATGCCCATTCCACGAAGTCCTTCCTGGCAGATTGACCACAGATTCTCGACTGGATTTAAATCAGGAGTTTCCGGGTCAGACTATAGTCATTTGATTTGCTCGCTAGTATGGCTTGCAAGTGTGTTCGTACAGCGTTACTGTTTTCTTAAGTTTCCTTGGAGTAACGTCCATCGCAGACAATGGCTGTAGGACAATTAATCGACAGTGAAGACAATAGTGTCTGGGCGTAATGACATTTGATGCAATCACGGATGACGCAGTATTTTTCAAGGCCAAACAAATTTCATCACACACCCCGAAAATATATTCATATTACAGCAGACCACTGCAAATGACCTAATCTGAGGAAGAAATAGAAATCGATTACGCCCTGTCACTCCAGTGGGTCTAAAACTGACCGTATGGTGAAAGAAAGGAAACTAAAGCGGTTGTTTAAATTAATTAACACAAGGGTGTAAATATGTTTTTTTTTCTTTTTTTCATAGTTTTTCATACTCAGTAACCTCTTGCGTCTTTGTGGCTTTGTTGCCTTGAAATGTTTACAAAATGTCCAAAATAAGATCAGCACTGACCAAGATGAGCATAAAACTATCTTCTTCTTGACAATCTACCAGTTTTTTTTTTTTAAGAAAATTAAGGAGGCTGGTGGGATGGGAATGGTGGTCCATCAGTATTCATGAAAAGAGAGCAAACAGCTGACAAATGCTATAGACTTGACAAGCGGTCTTCAATACAAGGTCAAGATTCTTCCATACAACGTCGGGAGAGGTCCTGTTTTTTTTTGTTTTTTTTCCTCCTGTGTTTACCATCAACAGTGTCATCTGCGTCCTTTTTATTATTAAGATGTTATCTCCCGCCATACAAAATCTTAGGAGCCACGCTATAGAGGTTGAATAAATCTAGTTTGTAGATACCTAAATATCCATAGCTAGGAACTAGCTTATCATTCTTTTACAAGGCCAGGGGGCGGCTACTCAGAGGGTTATGTTAGACATTTTGACGGTCGTCTTCGAGTATAGAATCCAGAGGTTAGCAGTGAATATTTCGGAGACAGTAGGAATGCGTTGTTCAGGTTAGCAGTGGATATTTTGGTAAAAGTATCAGAGCGTAGCACTTCCTTCTGTTCATCTTCGCCTGACAAGTTGGCACTGGTCATTCGGGTAGGATAAACAAAAATGGCCGCCTATATACACGACGGATAGAATGTTCTGCGTCTTCTGATTGGTTAACCTTCTATTGGTGGACTATAAAGGGAGTTATGTCATTTTGACTAACTCACTAGTTACATGATATACACAAAAAACTGTAACAGGTTACAGAGTAAGAGGCAGTTCATTCGGATAGGAGGGGAAGATTACGTTGTAGTGAATCAATCAATCATTATGTCTGACCATGATTTCGATTTTGTAGAAAGATTCTCTTACTTCACTCGTCCACTCACCTGCTTGGAAAATCAGCATTAATTATTATAGTTCTTTATCTATGTTCGAACACTAACCTCTGGCGCTAGTGAGAATTGCACTAGTAATGATAAGCATTACCCGACGATGGTTCACCCTGAAATTTATAAACCTGGCTCAGTCTGTAAGACTACCTCGCACTTAGTCGTCCTTAAAAAAAAAAGGACGATACCTTCTGTCTTATAATTAAACTTAGCTTCTTATTCAATATGATTCCGTTGTTTATTCTCAAAACATTGCTAATACAATGATGACAAAGAAATGTAGAATTGCAATGAAATTCTATCAAACGACCACGTTGTTATTCTATGTGATGTAAGCACCAGGAATCAGAAAATAAAATATTGGTTTCTAAGCCTTGAACTGCCATTCCCAATCCTTGGGATTATGTCTAACATGAATTAAGCAAGACTGATTCGTGGCTGTCCCTGGGGGTCGAGGATGAAGGTTTTGTTTTTGTAGGAATGATATTGGTTTTCACTTTCCCAAGAATCTCGACCCAATCGTAATGTTCAAACAGTCTTCGATATTTCTTCATTCCATGAATTACTGAAAGACGCGGACGAAGAAATATGAATAAACCGTTTCAAGTGTCGAGTCAACCGTTGTATATCCTACATATCCTATGGTCTTCTTACTTTCTCCTCTTACGTCTTTATGAGCAACCTTATTCATCAAACCTCTACCTTGAGTTGCTCTTGAGCTTTCCATTCAGTGAACTATAGTATGAAAAAAAAAACAAAAAAAAACACATCTATTTTGGTGTGATCTGGCCTGAAACACACAATATACATTCCTCAGAATGTTGTTGCTTTCTACCAAAGTAGGCGGGGTGTGGGCGTTTATCAGACTACGACGCTCAAATACCCTTGTGAAAGATAGGAGTCAATGTCCTCCCTCCTAACAATGGGTTAAATAGTAGAAAATGCATCTGGAAAAATCGTTGTCCATTGTTGTCGAGAAAATCTTAACCCCCCCCAAAAGTGCAGAGACGATGCAGACCTAGGAAAGGAGCGAAAGTACTTACCTTGATTTCCCCCACCCCCCCAAAAAATATTTCCCTCCCCGACGTCGTCAGATAACTTGCAATTGAGTTATAAGAAGAGCGACAAAGTAATCTGGGAGGAAAAAGCATTTCCTTTATGACCATTTCGGGTATCACGTGGTAACAAGTCACGAGACCCTGTAAGTATATAAAAAAAATAGTAAAAAGGTAACAGCTTTAAGTCAACAAGAACCAACAACCCAGGTAGATACATTACGCCTTGCCCCGCCTGGACCGTCGATTACCCCACATACTCAACAGTGCTAATACAATAATCACAAACAAAATAGAATTATTATTGCAATAAAATTCTGGTGATTTTCCAAGCGTAGCTTAGATGTGGCACAATGTCGAAAGTATGGGGTACCCAGTGAGGATTGAACTCACTACTCAGTCGTAATTGTTCTAGCGACACAAGCTTGCTAACTATTACATTGCCTCGAGGTGTCCAATAGTGATTTTCCAAGTGTAGCTTAGATGTGGCACAAGGCCGAATGTATGGGGTACTCAGTGAGGATCGAACTTGCTATTCAGTCGTTAATGTTCTAGCGAGACAAGCTTGCTAACCATTACACTGCTTCGAGGGACCCAATAGTGATTTTTCAAGCGTAGCTTAGATGTGGCACAAGGCCGAAAGTATGGGGCACCCAGTGAGGATCGAACCCACTACTCAGTCGTTAATGTTTCTAGCGAGACAAGCTTGCTAACCATTACACCGCCTCGAGGTGTGCAATAGTGATTTTCCAAGCTTAGCTTAGATGTGACACAAGGCCGAATGTATAGGGTACCCAGTGAGGATCGAATTCACTATTCAGTCGTAAATGTTCTAGCGAGACAAGCTTGCTAACCACTACACCGCCTCGAAGAACCCAGTTATTTTCTAAGCATTACTTAGATGCGGCACAAGGCCGAAATTGTGGGGCACATGATGAGGATCGAACTCATTTTTCAGTTGTAACTGATCTTGCGAGACCAGCTTATTGTGCCCAGTTGCAATCAAATTCTATCCAACGAGCACGTTGTTATTCTATGTGAACTAAGCACAATGAATCGGAAAATAAAATATTGGTTTCTAAGACTTGAACTCCCGTTACCAAATCTTGGGATTATGTCTAACATGAATTAAGCATGACTGATTCGTGGCTGCCCCTGGGGGTCGAACATGACGGTCTTGTTTGCCTCCGTCAGTTGCGTTTGTGGACTCTGAGATGGCGAATGTGATCGATAAAAGGTCTTTCGACATTGGGGACAGGTTGTTACGGATAGTGGATTAGAGCAGGGTTGTTGTTTTTCATTTCGACGCCTTCTTTTCTTCCCCCTCTCCAGGTCAGCTGATCGTTTGGATTCGAGGATTGTTGTCCCGGCTCTGACAATGGATTTCTAAAGATTCCTCCCCTGAATATCCGGCTGTTGATGTTGTGTTTGTTTATGCTTTCTTCTACAACGTCTTCGATTCTCTTCATTTGGCACCCACCCCTTTTCCGATGTTCTTCTTTTGAGTTGGGGCTAAAAGGTTTTCTTTGGTAGCTGTTTGGCATCCACTCGCGCCAAATATCCCTTCCATCGAAATTGATATATATATATATATATATATATATATATATATATATATATATATATATATATATATATATATATATGTGAAGAAAAAATATATACGGAAAAAACAAACAAAAATCCTTATATACAATTCTGCTGTTTTAATGTTAATATGTCAACGTCGGACGTTTCAGTCTAATAAACCATCTTCAGGACATATTCATAAATATAACATTATCAATACAACATGACAAAGACGATGTACATAAGAACAACATATATATATATATATATATATATATGTATGTGTGTGTGTGTGTGTGTGTGTGTGTGTGTGTGTGTGTGTAAAAATATATAGAAAATATGAAAGAATATAAATAATCCAAAGTTCTTTAGTATTTTTTTTATTACACTTAACCAGACTAGACGATGTCATCTTCCGCTTTAAATTTAGACACTCCAACCTTACCCTGACTTGACCTCTTTGAATGCAACTGAGATATTGATACAAATTATTACGCCCCTTTTCTTTAAATAATTGCTCTAGCCGTTACCATAGTAATTTTAATTTTAATAATGAATATGCTTAGAAAACGCGTAAATTTCAGCAATTAGTTATTCCAAACAAAATTTCGCTTGGAGATGGAACAGAGCTTGCTACTTTAATTCAATTTAATTCAAATAATTATATTGAAGTTTTCGTCTCTTGTTTTGAAACATGAGAACTCTTATGTAGCGATGGAATCATATTTTTAAATAAATAATTATATTTATGCTCTACTTTTTATGCACACACACATATATATGAATGTTTAAGCACATGTGTCTGTGCATGTGTTCATGTAAGTAAACTGGTATATTTAATAAAATCTATTGCTCATAAATATTACACTACACAGAT